GACGCGGCCCAGCAGGCCTGTTCTCTCTTAGGCTGCATGATAAGTGAAGTCGCTGTGCTTCCAGCACACTCGCCACTGCTCACTAGCCCTGATAAACCTCATCACCGAAGGTCTTTGAGCTGTAAATATTACCCACATTTATTATTTAGCATCACTGTCATTATCCACTGAATGAGGTAATATGTTTCAATCTCTAAATCTGCTCGTCACGGTACTTGGCTTTTAGCATTCTCGCTTACGTAAATGGTTACTGTAGAGCAGGTTACGCCACGTTAGTCCGATTGATAAATTAATAAAACATATTGGAATTTACTTACAAAGCGAGCATCATAAGATAAAGAGAAATCACAACAACTGTACGATTATGATAAGTATTATTAATACTTGATATATCAGACTTGTGCTGAGCTTGCGCTGTGCAATCAAGATTCTGAAATCAAAGCTAGATAAATGCCCTAACAGCTGTTTTCTCTCCTTTCAGCTGGGCTTTGGCTCTTTTCTGGGAATTATCGGCGCTCATTTGATAGAGAACAAGAGGCAGATGGTAAGAGGATTTATATTACCTCTGTGCACTGAGATCTCTTTCAGTGCTTCGTGTCACCTCATCTCAACATCACTGATATTAAACTGAATATTAGTCCCAGTTACCCTGCAGCAGACAAAGCAGTTTGATTATGGGAGCTGCAGTCCCACTCAGCTTCATGTGTTGAGTATCGGACAAACTATCCTGAATTTCGGGGTCGGGGTTACGCAGCCTGAAATAGAAATAGGGTGTAAGTGGAGGAAGACAGATGTCCGTGCAGGAATGTGGGGAAGGAAACTTCAGATGAGCGGAGCAGGTGGGAGGAGCCGGGCAGGCTCTGTCAGAGAATGTGTTTGTGTCGTGACACTTTTTCCCATCATGCAACAGCATTTAGATGCCTGGAGTTCCAGTCAGCAGGCGTGTGTGTTGAATGAGCCCTGGCACATTACACCACACTCTTGTTTACCACCATAAAATCTCATTACACTGAACATGTGCTGACATTAATTATAGCGTGACTAGTTAGTGACGTTGTAACTGCACTGGTATTAGTTGTCTACATTCATGCACTGCTTTTATTCTGTTTATTTTATCTATCATGGTGGGTGCACGAGGAGCTGCTTGTGGTCCAAGCTTCCTCTCGGTTCGTAGAGCGAGGTTACTGAGTTCAGCTACAGTATGTTGCCAAAAGCATTTGCGTGTCTGGCTTCACGCGCATGAACTTGAGTGACATCCCGTTCTTGTTCCATAGAGTTAATATGATGTCACCCTTTGCAGCTTTAACAGCTTCAACTCTTCTGGGAAGACTTTCCACAAGGTTTAGGAGCATTTATGGGAATTTTTTTACCATTTGTCCAGAAGTACATTTGTGAGGTCAGACACTGTGTAGGCTAGTCAAGTTCTTCAACACCAAATTTGTTCTCTTTGTGCACTGGTGCGCAGTCCTTTCACTGCAACTTAAGCTACGTTCACACTGCAGGTCTTAATGCTCAATTCAGATTTTTTGATCAAATCCAATTTTTTGTCTGCTTGTTCACACTCCAAATAAAATGTGACAGCAAACGCGCTCTAGTGTGAACCTCAAAGCGCCCCGCATGCACAAACGAAGACGTCACACAACACGCTCTGTTTAGACCCAGACCAAACAGTATTGTTTGACTGATGGCCTTAATATAAAGACTTATTTCGGACTTTACATTTCCCAATTTAGCTTTAAGTTCTAAAGTTATTTTGTTATTTACATGAGGCCTAATAATGATCCTTATTGCTGTTTTAGAGGAGCGGTGCTTCAAAGGATAGCTGCAGATTTCTGTCAGAATCTGCAGATTATACAGTACAAATAAAATGTTCACGTTTCTCCAACATTGTCTTCCCAACAGTTTCACTGACATCTACACTGGATGGCCAGGAAGCGTTCACGATGTCTTCCACGGCGCTGATAATTAGCGTCTGTCTTGTGTCAGTGACGTAAAAGACAGATTTAATGCGACATGACCATCAAACAGCAGTCGCTTTCTGAAACATCAGATATGTGTCAGATTCAGTACCACATATGAAAATGACCCAGATCGGATTTGAAAATATTGGATTTGTGCCGTTCACACTGTCATACCATGATCGGATATGCATATCCGATGCATATATGCATATATGCATCGGATATGCATCGGGTCGCATAGGGTCAAAAATGTCTGATTTGATGCGCTTTCGCCTGCAGTGTGAACGTAGCCTAAGGGGCTGAGCCCAGTTCCTGAAAAACAACCCCACTACATATTCCCCCCCCCACCAAACTTACACTTGGCACAGTGCAGTCGGACAAGCAGTCCTGGCAAACATCAAACTCAGACTCATCCATCGAGAAATGTGACTCGTCACCCCAGAACACACCTCCAGTGCTCTAGTGCAGCATAGAGTCACCACTGCATCTGATGCTTTGCATTGTGCTTGGTGATGTATGGCTTGGATGCAGCTGCTTCGCCATGAATCCCATTCCATGAAGCTCTCTACTCAATGTTCTTGAGCCAATTCGAAGGCCGCGTGAAGTTTGGAGGTCTGCAGCGACTGACTCTGCAGAAAGTTGGTGACCTCTGCGCGCTATGCCCCCAAGCATCTGCTGACCCCGCTCTGTGATTTCTTGCTGTCTTGCAACTGTAACCACATAATTTCCTCAGGGATTAATAAAGTATTCCGATCCTGATTTTACATGGCCCACTTTGTGCTGAGTCGTTGTTGTTATGAGTTTTTATTGAAGAATCCTTGAATTATTTAACATATTTTATACTTAAAACGGAAAGAAAGAGAGTAACTCATCTGATGTATTTTTTTTAACCACTTAGCGAGCATACTCTATCGCCCATGTTGCAAGAGGAAAGTATATCCTAGACAGCTGCTATGAGAGGGGCTCTAGGCTTAGATTCCCACATTAGTATTACAGAATTTGAAATGTTAAGCAGACTTATAACTACTACTACATAGCCCCAAACAAATTTTGTTTGTAGGGTTACCCTTTTAAAGGGAGTATAGTGTTTGTTCGGGGAGGCCACAAAGTCAAACTCAGCCGCAGTCTTGACATCGCCGGCCCACAACAGCTGGTGCCTAAGCTGATATCTTTTTATGCATTCAATTGGCAAATCCCATATAGAGCACACTATTTAAGCTGCTTTAACCTTCCCACAGTTGCTGTGCACTGCCAGCCACTTTGCAACGCACCTCTACCTCAGCTCGTTCTTTTATTGTGTGCCTGATTTTAACCAGCACAGTATCTGTTTTCACTGATGCCTGGTCTTGTCTGTGCCTTACGCTTTCCATGTATGCATGTGGGAAGGGCAGAGAGGTCAAATATAAATAACTGCAGATGGAAAAACAGTCGTCGTTTGACCACGGTTGTCCTGACTGAACTGACCTGCTAAAATAATTATAAAAATATCACAGAGTCTGTGGTGACATATCAAAATGGGTCAAATTTCCAGCGACACTTGCAGTATATAGAGCAGCTTCACTGCTTGACTGACACGTTTCATTTGGGCTGTGAAGTGACGTCTGAGTAGAAAAGTAAAGCGCTAATTACTGATACTCACAGTGAGAAATATGTGAAGCATTAAGTGTTCATTTAAAAACCTTCCGATCAGTCGTTGTGATATGACCTGTGAAGAAGCAGACTTCAGTAAGGGCATGTTCCTGATCCGTATACATATAGCTGCAGTGTGAGACCGATATCCAACACCATCAGATGATTCCCAAAAAGAATGCAATGTCCACATGTACAAATGCAATAACAAACTTCCTCAAAGTCCAGCACTCAAACTGCAATTTAAAGACATAGGTCAGAATAATTTTTAGATGTCTTTAATTTTCTGTCTTTAACTGAGTTTTGTCAGGTCTAATAAGCCCCAGTGTCATTTCTTCAGCTGTAACTTTGAGGCATCAAATAGCAAAAGAAACCAAAAAAATTACAAAAAGACAAATTTACAAACAACAAAGATGAAAGCTTGAGAAATTTTATTCCACGATGCAGGAAAATAAAAGAGAGCAAGAAGCACCCCAAGAGCTCAAAGTTCAAGTTATATTCACAAGAAGTTTGTAGTGCAGTAAAAGCAAGTGCAAAGCGCAGGTTTTTTGGTTATTTGCCCTAATGAAACATATTTTGATATGCTTGACATAATTTGTATATGTTTTTTTTCAGATTCAAAGGAGCTTGGAAAGAAAAGCGTCTGGACTTCTTTAAGTTGCTTGAAGACGTTTCACCTCTCATCCGAGAAGCTTCTTCAGTTCTAAGGTCAAATGGTGGAGAGTCCCAGATATAAACCTAGTGGGAGTTTCCCCCCACAGAGGGACAAAAGGACCCCTGATGATCCTCTAATCGCCTGAGCCAAGGTGTGAAACTGGGTGTGGGTCCCAATCAGCCAGAGTTTCGGGTGAGCTCTTTGTGAAACCTGGCCCCACCTTATCATGCGAATTCCTTAGCGCGTGGCACAACATAGAAGAGCCACCTCCACAGGACAAGACTCAGCAGTTCATGTGCATCTAAAGGTCAAAGGTCACTCTTTCGAGGATGCCAATGTTCACATTTTGGACAGAGAGGACAGATGGTTTGAAAGAGGAGTGAAAGAAGCATCTATGTCCACTGTGAGCGACCATCTTTGAACAGAGGCGGGGCTTACGACACCAACTCTCTGCCATCTATAATCCAGTTTTGAGATCCCTCCCCAGACGCCTTAACGCCCACTCACATCCTGGGCCATCTGACCTCAGGAATTTGCATGATAAGGTGGGGCCAGGTTTCACAATGAACACACCCGAAACTCTGGCTGATTGGGACCCACACCCAGTTTCACACCTTGGCTCAGGCGATTAGAGGATCATCAGGGGGTCCTTTTGTCCCTCTGTGGGGGGAAACTCCCACTAGGTTTATATCTGGGACTCTCCACCATTTGACCTTAGAACTGAAGAAGCTTCTCGGATGAGAGGTGAAACGTCTTCAAGCAACTTAAAGAAGTCCAGACGCTTTTCTTTGCAAGCTCCTTTGACTACGATGACCTAGATGATTGAGGACCTTCACAGACTTTTTTTCAGATTGTTTTTACTGACCTTAAAGGACAGTTTGAAAGTGACCATTTATGTGGTTCTTTCTATATGTTGAGAATACAAACCTGAGACATAGTTTCCAAGTTACTGAGGCTTCTTGTCAGTTTTCAACCAATACATCATTAAGTTGCCCTTGAAGAATTTGGTGGCTGTAAGCCAAATCTTATTTAATTTTTCTTTATGAGAATTCATTCAAAACTTTTCCAGCTATCGTGCTTACAGACAGAATGACACGCACACAAATGCTACTAAAAACATTAACTCTTTGGTGGTTTTTAAATGTGATTGTTAAAGCTGACCAATCATCTTTTTTTTACTCTCTGACAACAAGACAGTCTCATAGCAGTTTGTGATAACAGCTGACCTACTCGTCCATGTTTCTGCAGACATAAATTGTCCATCCTTCTTACCGTGTTCCTGAACACAATTTTTTTGGCTGCCATGTTGACACTTCCCCTCTGAAGAGTGTGGACAAAAATGCAACATTTCATATTCATTAACAAATCGATGGCTGTTTCCTGTGTATTTCACATTCTGCTATGAGACGAGGCTGTTTATGTACTCTACATATTGGTCAATTCCACAAAGTGATAGATAATGAGGTCACATAAGTGGTGCATGTGAGCTAAACGCTCAGGCTTCAGTTTGCTCTGAACATTTAGTTCCCTTTTTTTCTACTATTGGATTTTTATGATATAAAAGAAAGAAGGCTTCCCCTTAATATGGTGATCTCAGGGATACAGCTCTGGGTGTGAGCACAGGAGGTCTGCCCACCTTCTGTGTGTGAGGGGCAGCCAATCAGAGAATAGGCAGCATAAAAAAAGAGGGGTGGGGGGGACTTCAGAGTTTCTGCACAAGGTACACAAGAGATTAGTTTGAACTTTGACTCATGAAAAGCTACTTTAGTAATCTCCAAGAACAACCACGTCCACTTTTAAAAGGTCAGAGGAGCTTCAGCCTTTCAATCTGGGCTCAGATCTGATTGTAGAAACTGTACCTCAAGCTGCTCAGTCTGTGGTGTCACTTCACACTCCCTCCCTCCTCTGTGGTGGGGCGGCTCCAGAGGAGTGGGGTGATGTGTAACCGAATACTGGCTGTGTTTCACCGAAGACTGAAAAGAGAAGAGGTCTGTGGATGGGTTTAGGTAAAGGGTTGCACTGCGAGTGCTAGATGTTTCCACTAACTGGATCTGAACTGTACTTCTGCACAGATATACATGAGTGTACTGCAATTTCAGCTGGTTTAAGGCCACTGGTGAGAAAAGAAAATGAGAATGATGCACGTTTATGTTAAGATTTACCCTTCTATTGAAAACCCAAATATGAAGCTCGGGCCTCTCCATCTTCTTCCACAGTTAGTGGCATCCATTGTCTTCATCAGCTTTGGAGTGGTGGCTGCCTTCTGCTGTGCCATCGTCGATGGAGTATTTGCAGCGAGGCACATTGTAAGTATCACAAAAGCTTATTTAACTTATCCTGTAAATGTAGATCATTCTAATTACACACTAATAACGGGCTTCTTATTGGGCGCCAGGCTACATTAGACGCATCCCCTCCTCGACGTCCTGCTCACATCTTTCAGGCTGGGGTAGCTGCCACACCCTTCTTGTGAGACAGAAGGGTGTCTCACAAGATGATTTATTTTGTGGTAGAAGACTGTTATTCTCCATGATGCAAAGCACAGAAAACAACAAGTAACCACTAATGCATTCTTAAAACAATTATGCTGAAGTAAGTTAGGGCAGTGTGAAAAGGGAGATTCCCATTAGCAGGTTTTCGTTCGCCACTAATGGCGTCAGTGAAGTGGAACATTTTCCTTTCAAACAGCATTTGGTACACTAGACTCTGAAGAGGCGCACTGTTGAATCAAGTGAATTTAGGAGCATTAATTGAGGAGCATGGTCGTTAAACGTATCTATTTTTGCTATATTTGGTAGCAGTTTTAAACCACGCGTTCGTTTTTTGTTCTTTGAGGACACAGAAAGTGAAAGCACAGTCTTGATTTTTACAGCTGATTGAATGTCAGTGTTATTTGTGATATTAATGATTTTCATCTGAAGAGCTTGCTCAAAAAGGCTCTTGTTTGCATCAGAGAAGAGTGAGGTCAGTTTTATTCTTATTGATTTGGTAATACATAAAAGCTCCTTTTTATCGTAGCGCATACTGAACGATCCAGAGTATGCTACACAGTGTCATCAAGTGGCTGGTTGGCTGTTTTCTGTATTTGCACGTGCAGTCACAACTTCAAACTTGGCCTGAGAGTTAACGTCGGCTGTCTGACCCGACATTCACTTGAAGGATCATCACTTGTGATTGATGAGAGCAGTCTTCAGTTCTCACCTTCTTGCAACTTTCTCCTGTTTTCTAAAAAGAAATTCAAATAAACGCACCTGGATCAGAGTGCTAGTAGTGTTGCACTGGTCCCCAAGGAGACACCTCATATAAAATGTTTGCTGGTATGTGTGTTTTTATTATTAAACTGTAATAATGAGTAGGGACATAGTTGTTAGTAATTAAATATAAAAGTAGTGAGGGTTTACAGATATAATCTCAGCATAATCTTAGTATATATTTAAGTATGCTGAGTGTTTCCTCTGAAACGTCTGTCATTCTTCCAGGGTTGTTTTTGTTTTTTTAAACTTTAAAATAACTTGAACAGTGGAAAAATTATGTAAATAAACCATAAAACTCAATATGGCCTGATCACATTTTGCTGTCCTCGTCAAACTTTCAAAGTAGATTTATTTTTGACCCCAGTATTTTTTCTTTCCCAGTAAAAAACAAAGTCAGACCAAATATACGTTTCCCAGGGCCATAAAATAAACTGACCCAAGCAGTGTTACTTTTGGACGCCTGGTCATGTAGCGATAATTCCCCCTGACGATTTTACCTTTTTTTAAAAACACATTAAAGTACTACATCATGTTAAACTAGAAAGTGCATTTTCTGAAGAAACTGCAGTGTGAACGCTTAAATCTGAGCTGAAATGAAATAATTGATGAATTTTAAGTTAAAAAGTTTGAAGGAGATAAAGAAAAAAAAACTGATTTTTTAACCTGAAAACAAAAGTGCTGAACTGCTAAAAGCTGACGTTCACACAGAAGCAGCCATGTCCAAAAAAGGAGAATTTTTGAAGGAGTTAGATGCCAAAAAACGTACGGAAAAGAAAATAATAAAGAATAGAAGAACAATACTGTGAATGCTTTTCAAGCATTCCCACTAGAAATGGTCCACATGTTTGATTTAGCAAAGATTTTAGACCAGATGTCCATCTTAATATAGCATTCCATGTGGGATGTAGGTAAGGAGGACATGCAAAGGGTTTGTGTTACAGAGGGGGATGCTAGAGATGAAGGCAAAATGATGCTGTCAGGCAGATTTGGGGTCACTATCCAGAAACAAAAAAAAAGACTAAACAAAGGAAAAAGTGCAGGCTTTGGTGACCAGAGAGGAAACGTGGAACAAATGAAGAAGCAGCATGTAGTAGCATGTGAAAAAGAAGTGAGAAAAAGTGAAAAAATCCATATTTGAGTTTTTTAGGGAGAGGGGACACAGAGGGGGGAAAGGAACATAGAGCCCACGAGATGACTGGCAAAATAAGACAGGAAGTAACAAAACATGACAACACCTATACTGAGAGAGACTTAACAGGACCCAGGAAACACAGGGCAGGCTCATAAAAGCTATGAGACAAAAACAAAACACCTAAAGCAAAATACTTATAGAAAATAGACATTAACTGAATCTCAAGGACTAAATTGTAACCAGTAACTTAAAACTCCACCTGAAGAAGAATAAACTCAAAGCTACTGTGGGGATCACTAAAGGAAGCAGCTGAAAGAAGACAAATTTTACAAAATAAAGCTTTAAAACATGTAAGACAGAATTATGTAAAATCTCTCCTGTTAAAATGGTAGCTGGTTATATTAAACTGGCCCAAAGTTTTTATAAAATGGTCTGTTTATGTGCATGTAATCCCTGTGAGCCTGAAGACGGCTGTAGAAGCTCAGTTTCTGACAGTTTTTTCTACCCTTTGTTGCTGTATGATGTAAAAGAGATGGGATATCCTTAATCCCCGCCCACCTGCTTTTTCAAATCTTTTGCTTACAAGAAGCAGCCAATCAGAACAAAGTTGGTTTAAATGGATGGAAAAGTCTTGTTTCACAGAGTGTATGAATTGAGGCCCCTTAGATAAATTAGCTTTTTTTTTGTTTTGTTTGTTGCTTTTCTTTAACTTCCCAACATGGAGCTGGAAATGTCCATAGCAGGTCTAATATAAAACTTTATTATTAATTTTAGTTGGCAAACAAAATAAGACTATTCCAGCATTTTCATATTCATCAGTTCTTTCTTTTATGCCGTTTCTTCTGCAGGACCTCAGGCCTCTGTACGCGGGCCGCTGTGCTTATCACACCAGTGACACGGCGTCTGAGCATGATGTAAGAAAGACATTTAACTCATATTCAATGAGCCATTAAATGCTGTCTGTCAGTGTGATCATTATTTGTATAGGCTTGAATTGTTGGGGGGCTGAATAATCCATGCAGGCTCAACGAGAAGAGACATAAGCTAATTTTTGCACTTCAGGTGCCATGTCATACATCCTGTAACCTGCGAGTGAAGAGCAACACCTGCTACTGCTGCGACCTCTACAACTGCGGGAAGTGAGTATGCCGAGGGGGTCGAGCACCCTCAGAACCTGTGCCTACTCACTATGCAGTGTTTATATTTTGATGTGCGCTCCTGTGTCATTTTAATTTGCACTGCAGCGGTGATTGTATCAGACCAGGATGTTTCTTTTGTTTTTTAACCTTTGTTTCAGAGAACATCCTCTTATGGGACCTCAGAATAAAGATGTTTTGAAAAAGTTTAAGAAATCATCCATGATTTGGAAGTAGGTCCCTTTTTTCTAGGCTATTAATGCCCAGTATTGATCAACTCGGTCTTGTCTTGTCTTATTTTATTTTTTAAGAAAACATCATAGAAATGTGTTGTAGGTTGTCATTTCCTCTGCATGTTTGTGTGTCACCAACCTCAGTCTGTGTCTCCTCCCAGCTTTCCAGCAGCAACCTCTGAATGTTTAGAACCATAAATCAACCCCAGTTTTGTTTTTCTGTGTCTTGTTGATGTAGGTGCATCTTTAAAAACTACTAAACACTGTCAGTGATTTTTCTGGCTTGACTATAAGCTTTCCCCCTCTCTGTTTTACCCCACTGGCCTAGCCGTGTTGAGTTAATGGGAGGCTACCATGAATATACAGATGTGAAAAGCTGCCAGGACGTCATACACCTCTACCACCTCTTGTGGTCGGCTACGATCCTCAACATCGTGGCCCTCTTCCTGGGCATCATTACTGCAGCAGTGCTGGGAGGCTTCAAAGACATGGTGCGTGCACTGAACGAGCATGTCAGAGTTATCAGTAGCCGCTTCTCTGTAATCGCAGCTCTCTAACTGTTACATCAATGCACTCTGTTGCTTCATCAGACACCTGCCCCTGCCTCAGAGAGCACATCTGAACCAGAGGCCATCACAGCTCCAGTCCCCTCAGAGATTCCCCCGCCCGTCACGTCTCTCAACCCATATTACAACACCGCCCCCTGCCTGCCACCGTACTCGGCCTACGACCTGCAGGTATGCAGCTGCTTTAAAGGTGCAGTTGAGAAGTGTGTGCTTCTAATTATTTATGGACAACAGTCAAGCTCTTTATCAGGAAATTTGTGTTAGTAGGATCTAATGACGATTGTTTCTAGGGTTACCAATTGGATCCATATAAAGTATCTCATGGTCCTCACGCATTTGATGCCAGCATACAATAGCTCAAAGCATATATATATTGTAATAAATGTTTTCCTTTATTCGCAGGGCTCCTATGTGTTCCCTGACTCTTCAGGCCTGTCAGACGATTCCCAGTCTGGAGCCAGCCACCTCTGGCCTACAATGATCCCTCCACGCTACTCCCCTCCTCACAACCTTCCAGATGAGAAGCCCCCACCATACAGCCCGTAAGACAGCTGCGAGAAAAGGAAACACCTGAAACATCATCGGGTGTTTGCACAGTTCCTCTGGACTTTTCTTCATAATCCTTCAGAAGAGTGTTGAAGACAAAGAGGCGAGGAAGGGGAGGAGAGCCACAGAGCACACTAACTTTGACTTCAGCCCAAGGCGAGGGAGACAGCATTCGTCTCCCCGGGCACCGCTCACACTCTTCTGGCCTGCACTGTGTGTGTTTGTGCACATGCACATCGAGAGAGACAACCTGGTCAAAGCCAGGACTGTTTACACATCTATCTGCCTTATGCAACGTAAACAGACTTCCAGTGTTAGATGTATTCTGTAAAAGGACAAAACGACAGAGCTCATGCTTTACATTCACCTCTCTTTTGCAGAAACTGTAAATGCTTCCTCCATCAAGATGGAGATCCCGTCCTCACTGGGAGGATGAGTGCAGCTACATGTGCAAGGTCGACGTTGAGCTAGGTGAAAGCTTTGGCATATTTCTTAAAATCTGAATCAGCTAGATAATTCCAAACTTAAAAATTGTAGGCCCGGGCGTTTGTTTCTGTAGCAGTTAATAGTGTCCCTGTGCATTATTACAGGCAGAGTTAGCAGAACTGGAGGTATTACATGCTCATAATGTATGTGCAGCAGTATAATATGCAGTTAGGCCTAGCATATACAAACAGACCAAGATTCCTATTTATCAAATCTTCACGTTATGTTTAAGAATATCCTGATCAGTGTGTGCAGAGCAGCATTAATGAAGAAATAAGCTATTGTACCTACAGTAGTTGTTGAGGATAATCAGATACCAGTTACACTCCAAACCTCATTTACTGTGTTTCCACTAAAAGCAGCAAAGCAGGTAAGCATCATATATGTGTCTCTCTCTTTGTCAAGTAGCAGTAGTAGCACGTTTGTGTCAGAAGGGTCATTCCATATAAAATCAGTCAAACCTGATCCACCGAATCTGCTGAGGGTTTGTTGTGCAGACAAAGAAAAATAGGTGAAATCCATCTTCAAGAAGCAAAAAAAAGGTCCAGCGCGATCATTTCAGTAGATTAGACAGAATCTAAAATTATCAGACACCTACCAAAGGCTGCAACTTCACAGGTGTTATACAACACTAGATGTCAGTTTTCAAACATAAGGAATCACGGCTAGAGGCTGAGGACTAAATGGAGGGAAAAATGAAACGTTTCATAAGCTATTACCTGTTTGAAATCCTACAAAGTGATATGACCATTTAAAAGTTACCCGCAATGCATTTTTGAGGTTTTCTCCAACAAATTCTCAGAAAACATCCAGGATACCAACAACACTTGTTTCTGTTCCTCGCGTGCAATTTGGACTGGAGCTATCACATGATACTGATTAGGTATATTGATTATAAAGAAATAGATCAGACCAAAAACATAAATTTAGCTTTGGATCCTGTACTGAAATTTCACCTGGTTAGCTCCAGTACTTAAGAAGTGAAATAATAAGCCCATCTAAGAATACAAATGTGAGTGTGGCCATCATTAAAGCCTGTGGTCGATAGCAATCAGTTTGCAAGTTTAAGTCTACTTGAATTCATTTACACAAAACCAAACACTCAGCAGTTAATGGTTATAGATAGAAACGTGTGGCATACAGTAACCAATTAATATACACATTAAAATGTTTATAGATTATTATAATATGCACAATTAAAATAACTGAATTGGCAGATTCATAAAATCTAATTTAATCTTCTAGGACAGACTGCTTGCAGATACAATGACCAATAAGCCTCCATGCCTGTACGCCATTTTCAGCCTCTATTAGCCTTCCCACATAACAAAATCCCCAGCACATGACACATATGCTGACATTCATGTAGATATATTTTTTGTTGTTGAGTTTTTAGTGGCTCAGCACCCGTTAATCCGATTTTTCGTTCACTTAAAAAGCGCCAGTTTTTCGACCTGCCCTCATGTACGTTAATCTGAACATTTTATAGTACGAAGGAAACATTTCCCCTGAAGTTATTGTGCACATTAAACTATCCTCTTCTTAAGGGGTTCAGGTTGGAGCCTCACTCTGGTTTTTCTTTTTCTATGGAATGACCCAGGAGTTTGTGAGGCTCAGTGTGAACAGTCAGTGCTGGATTCGCTGATATGAAACCTCGTCAATGTCCAAGAAAGCAGTCACTGTCAGCTTTGATCACGGCTTTTCCAAATTTAAACTGCATTCTTCTTCGTCACGTCATTAAAACTTGTTTTATGTAACTCACATAGTGCTGTTTCTTTTTTTATCTACTGGGTGTTGGTTACCTCTCCAGTAGGTCACAGGAGCAAAGGAGGAACTTCTGCCACAGCTTCACCTATTTTGAGGTGCATGGAGTAAGGTGTAAAATTTTCAAGAGGTCAAACAACACTGGTAGCACCTCTACTACATATGAGGCAGATTATATTTTTTTCTGCTTCATACTTCTGTAATTTTATATTTTCCTGACGTGATAAAGGAAACCAGCAGTTGTTTTACACACTAATGCTGGAGGTTTGACATCTTTTGCACTATGGTGCTATGTATTCGTGGTTTGCAGGGGATAAAATTACCCCCTGTAATTTTTCATTTTTAGGTCACTGTGAGTTTAGGTCATTGTGAACAACTGCTGAGTGGTTTGCTATTAATTTGGTACACACGTCCCCCATACTGATCAATTGTATTCAGTGCTCTGAACTTAACTTCCTAAAGCGGACGTTACGCTCGGTTCCACCTTTATAGTTGTTAGACGCAACTAGAGCAGCTGTACATGGTTAACACTTCAAAAGATTTGTCTTACAATGTGTGTGACAAACTGAAAAACTAAGCTCACTCTTAATGCTTCCATCAAAATTAAGAGGGTAAGTAGTAAATAATCAGCAAGTCTGGTGAGGTTTTGGCACCTTGCAGGTCTGGAGCATTCAGATGAGTGTTACCATAACGCCACAATCTCCCCAGGAGTGGACGTCCCAGCAAATTTACCCCAAGGTCAGAGCATGCAATGTTCAGAGAAAGTGCAAAAAACCCCGAAGCTACATCTCAGACAGGCCTCATTTAGCATGCTAAAGGTTAAAAGTCCAGGACAGTGCAAGGACCTTATAACAGCTGTCAAGCCCGATGGTGGAGGAGTGATGACTTGAGCTCATCTTACAGCCACAGGACCTGGGCACCTTGCAGTCATTGAATCAACCATGAATTTCTCTGTACAGCGTGGTATTCTAATGTAAGGCCATCTGTCTGACTGCTAGAGCTTAGCCCAAATTGGGGAATGCAGCTGGACAATGATCCCAAGCACAGCAGCAAATTTGAATGGCTAAAAGTGAATCGAGGCGTTGCAATGGCCCAGTCAAAGTCCAGACCTCAATGCTGTCGTGGAACCTTAAGAGAGTCGTGAATGTGTGCAAACCTCCATGAAGTGAAGAAACAATAAAGAAGAAAAGGGTAAAATTCCTCCACGATGTGAGAGACTGATAAAGTCATACAGAAAGCGAAAACAAGTTATTGCTGTTAGAGATGGTTCTACGGGCTAATGCAACATAGGGTTTACTTTCTCAAGCAAAACCTTCATGGTTTAAAAAAAAAAAAAAAAAAGACTGTGGTAAATTTAAATGTTCCCCACTGGTTTTGTTGGAATAAAAGTGCTAAATCACACCCCAGAAAACATTTTTACAGGTGAACCAAAAGAAAATAAACCTTTATAACAAGATTTAAAGCCAAAGTCCTCACACAGCTGAGCTGCTAACCTTTCAGTACAACAAGTAAATACACTCCCTTTTGAGCAAAACTACAGGATTTATCCATAAAACACTGTAGAATACATGCTACAAACTAGAAATGTGCAGTAGCACAAACAAGAAATAAACAGGTGCTGTTCTGTTTCTATACTGGCAGTGTGACCAATTTAAACTATGACAAATGTTAACCTGCTGTCAAGAGCCCAAACTGGAGTGTAGCAAGCACAAAAACACACCACACATCACATACTGATGTTAATCTGTTTATTAAAAAGAAACCCTGCACGATGACATGACAAAGTACAGTTTCCCCTGTTAGTACTACTTGTACTAACCAATCACTACCCTCTGACACAGTGGAAAACAGAGCGGAAAAGTTATAACAAAGAGTTTTCTGCCTGAATGCTAAGTGCTACAGCTATTGACTGTAATAAAGCTCAGTTTATTTCCATCCTATCGTCACACGTGTAGGAGAAATCTCCAGCCTTCTATATGTAGCTGGGCAGCTTTTGCAATTTTAAATAAAGGGAAGTGACAAAGTAACAGAAATAAAAATAAACATAAACAATGTATTTAAAGGGGAACTATTAAGCTCATTTCCAGCTCCATGCTACAGTGGCTTTGCATGACTCGCGATACAAAATAATCCTTATTTATATACTCACATATCTTATACTGGGCCTTAGTCTGAAACAAGCTGATTAAGCTCCTCCTATATTAAGATTGGGGAGAGCCCCACTGGTGAGACACAGACCCACTGGACTGTGAACGATGAATGAATGAGATCCTTAGATTACATACCGACCCTGTTTAATACGAGCATCCCCTGCTGTAACCGTATATTTTCAAAAATCTTAACAGGTCCCCTTTAACAGACAGAAAGTTTCTTTTCCAGGCTGCTACAAAAATTAAATAACTGCATACCCAGGATGACAAAATACAAATATAATGAAATTCATAATCAACATTCTCTCGCACAGAATGAGATTTAAAAAAGAAACGGGAATGATCGGTCCTGAAAATTCATCATTTCATGTGTAATGTAACCAAAACTGGCTGCACATACACACAATAAGGCTTCATACATCACTTAAATAGGTAACCCCATTTCCATTTCATTAAACAGGCCTCCGTTTAATGTCATTTCACGATTAAGGGAATGTAGCCTGTTGAAAAAATAAAACTGAAAAACAAAACAGCCGTTTCATTTGTGCTTCAGCTCATTTAGCTGAAATATTCTGGGCAATAAAGATACAGAGCACAGGTTTGAGCCAAGAAGAGCAATTTCTTTTTTTTTTTTGCCTTTTCATTCATAAAAACTCTTCATTTCTATCATGTTTGAACCACGTCCATTTCCGTGCTCACCTAATGTAAAAGATCATGGCCATTTTAAAAAAGCAGAGGAACATGAGAGGTACGGTCCCATTACATCGTTCACCATATAACTGAGCGCCACCAGCAAACTAGTACCTGTGTTATCACTACAGTATTAGTCCACTCATTTCAACTGACAGACTAATGAGACCGCACTGTACAGCTGAAACTATTGAGAATTGCGCAAAAATATTGTTGATGTGGAACCGAGGAGAAAGAGGGGCACCTAAAAGGCACATATAATAAAAGGAGTGGTGCCAGCTGTGCTTAGTAGTACTCTGCTGGACCCTGTGGAGGCGTGTTCATAGCCGTCTCCGGTTGTGCACGGCTGTTAGGCGCCATGTGAGCGTCGGGCTCAACGAAAATGTCGTCCCAGTTCAACATCCTGCTTTGGGTGGACGAGTGCATTGCTTCGCCGACTGAGGTTATGTGATGCACGCTGCCGTCCTCCGATATTACTGGGACCCCTGGCCCATCTGTAGTCCACGAGTACGACTTCATCTGCACTGTTTTACACGGAAGCAGGCGGTACAAGTTGTTGCCGCCGTCGTCTTTCTCCTTCCTCCCGCAAGGATCCTGATTGTGAACTTGCTTGCAGTGAGCGGAGAGTAACTGGTAGTTTATAAACATTTCATTGCACAACAAGCACTGGTACCTCCTCTCTCCTGTGTGGTGGATTTCATGTTTAGTTCTGTACTCGGCCAGGGCAAACACCTTGTTGCAATAACGACACGGGTACTTCTTTTCCCACGAATGGGTGTTGAAGTGACGGCGCAGACTTGGCAAACACACGTAGGGCCGCTTACAGACAATGCACACGTAGAAAGTCTTTCCATCCATGATGAGCTCGTAGTGGTCCTCGAGCTCCGTTTTGGTCCTCTTCTTGTTTGGTCCTGCCTTGGGTGACACGGGTGTTTTTTCGAAGGGTTTCAATGGTGTCGCCATAAAAGCTCTCTTCCCTTTATTGGCTTTGGAGCCTCCTTCGCCTGGATCTTCTTTCACCGGGACAATGTCATACGTATTTTCTCCAATATTGGCATACACCTTGCAGCCTGACGAAATAGAGTCGATTTCCGTGGCTGTGCTGAGCGTCACTGTCTTTTTACCCGTTATAGCAGATTTGGGAACATTTGTTTGAAGTGTCGAACTTTCCGATAAATCAGAGAGTCTTATTTTGAAGTCCCCCTGCTGAGATGAAGTAGACACTTGCTTCTTGTGGACTCCCATTATGTCGCTGTTTTCAGGGGGCTGAGAGGCACTCGATGGCTCTGGGGTCAAACTGCTTGTTCTGGCTGGTGTTGTGGGAGCACTTCCTGAGTAAACTCTGGCAGGGGAAGACGAGTTGTTGGAGCTGCTGTCCGGGCTCTGTAGAGGGCTGCTGTCTATTAAAATTGGTTTAGGACAGCTGATGCTGGGAGGATTTGAAGCAGATGGTTTCGAGGGAGTGGTAGCTTTGTCTTTGCATTCTGAAACTGCATGATTTGATTCTACATTTTGGCTTGACGGGACATTTTCTGAATCCATTTTCTCCAAATCAATGACTTCACCACAGCCGACCACTTTGTTCTGACTATCTGTTTTTGAGACAAACAGAACGTCGCTGTCCGAGTCCTCCTCGTTATCCGCAGGCTTGTTTACCTGATTGAACTCCTCCGCAGATATTGAGAAGGACTCTGTGATGATCGGCATCATCTCTGTAGACGAGTCACTTTTGCTTTCTGCCTCCTTAGACAAACCAGGAAGGCCCTTAACTTGTGATAATGGTGAACCCAAGTTTGCAATGAACTTTACTCCCAGTATCTGCCCGGCATTGATGAGCTCTTCGAGCATGTCAGAGCGGACTCTGACAATCTTAGAGCTGTAAATATAGTTGAGAATCTGCTCAAAGATCTCAGGCCTGATGAAGTTTAGTTCAATCACTTGCCCAGCCACGGTAAACAGCTGGTGGAAATACGTACTTGAGGCAGACAGGATAGTTTTGTGAGCTCTGAACTTCCTGTCCTGTATAATGATGGTGATATCGCAAAATAATCCGTGGCTCCGCTGCTCATTCATGTTCTTCAGCACAGCTGCTGAGTACTGTGTGTCGGTCGCAGATATCAGCTTCAGACTCGGCATGTCTACAGAGAAAAAGC